TCGAAGCTTTCTCCCATTTTTTCTATAATGTAAGCATTTGCTCTCTCATCATGCCAAACTCCTTCATCAAATTGTCACGACTGAATCAAAATGATATGACATACATTTGTGTCAATTACATTGCGTAAGTTTTCACAGTTGTATTATTATTTCCCAATCGAGAGAGAAACTTTGAAAATGTTAGTTACAAAAACTTCAATTTCTCTACTCACCCAACTTTTTTATAAGGTTGTAGATGTTTAGTGGCTTTTGATTGAAGATTTTTAACAATCTATTCTGAAATAACATTTTGATGCACCCATTATCAATAATGAGCTCGCATACCTTGCCTTCAAAAGTACATTATGTCTCAAATATCGAAAAAACTTTGTATATAGTTACAATGATTTGAAGAACGTAATACTTTCTCAATTCTACAAGATACAAAATTACCTTCATCTCCCTGCAAATCTTCAATTTCTTCATTCACACTATTCATCTTGCAACTATCTTCCTTATCTTGATTATTATTTAGTAGTTGTAATTGTCTCCTTTTTGGGCATTCATTTGATATTGACTAGGTTGGAAACATCTAAAGCATTTTCTAGGTCTATGCCTTCGATAGACATTGTCACGATTAGGAACAATCGTAAATTAGACTTTACTTTAGTTACTTTGAAGGGAGCTCATTTTGACTTCCTCTATTCTGGGACATACTTGATTCAACTAATCCTCAATGTGTATGTTGTGTTTTTATCTATCTAAATTGTTGTAGTTCAGCCTTATGTGCAAAATTTATGTCTGGTGAAAGAGACCAAGTCGAGTTTCTCTCAAGCTCATCTTGAATTGACTCTTTCAGACTCCCACCCCACCACTTCATGTACCTTGCTACCAGTTGTTGATATGTTTTGCTTAGGTTGTTATAGACGTTAATTTGATAAAATGCTTCACACACCCTGGATACATCCTTGTCACCATGAATATATCACTTCATCATAATCTGTATCAAATGTCCACTCATCAACTTTTCATCAGACCCAACTCTCCACAATTCATTGCCTTTTTCTCCTGCAGGATTGAAAAATTGAACCCACCAATCTTTGACCCCATCTTTTAATCGACATGTTACATACTTCATCTGTTTATCTAGAGGCATGCTTATATACTCAAATACTGGTGTATCCTCTATGTGTAAAGGATTATCAAAATAGGGTACGTTTAATATCTTCTATGGATTAAGCTATATCATGATGCCAATCAAATTTGCAAATTAATTTAACAAGAAATGGCATTTTCATCATGGTATTTGCACATTGGCTCAATGAAATTTTCAAATTTGCTAATGAACCCTAGTTTGATGCATTATTCCTTGCTTCCAAAATATAACTCATAGCTAAATGAATTTATTAAACAAATGTTAACAAATGCATTTAATGAATTAATAATATAGGTATGAATGGATACAAATTATATTTAAAATTTATAAGTAGCATAAATACAGATTTAAAAAAAAAGGGGTCCAAAATTATATATGTAAATATAAGGTAGAGATTTGATTTTGATGGAATCACAAATTAATTTTTAAGGAAAAGTATTACGATTAATACAATTTAATTATTGATTATTATTATTTTTCTTGAGTTATTGTTTGATCTTGCATAACCCTAGTTACTGAGTAGCCCATTAAAAATGATCATATTATAATTAGGGCTGTGAATTTACCTCGAAGATCATTAATCGCTTGAAAATTAATATGAATTGCAGTTGAGATCAAGATCAGGTTGAAATAAACTAGTCGAGCTATGAGCCAAAACTTTAGAACCAATTTTTTTCAACCCGATTTCAAGCCAAACAGGGATTGGCTCAAAGTATTTTTTTTTTTAAATTTATAAAAATTATATATAATGCTAAACGAAATCAAACATAAAGAGCTGAGAGCTGATTTCAAGCCTACTTTGAGCTAGAACTGATCCAAAAAAACTCAAATTTGAGCCAACTCATTTCGATTTAGAGCCTGATTGAGCTCAATTCAATTTCAAGCCAAACTGCCTCAAAATCAAACATGACTAGATCTCAACTCAATCCATTTGATCCAATTTCGAACCTGCTTTCCCCACCTTAACTTGAAATTCGCCCGTCAGTCCTAATTAATGTATTAATATTTCTAACTTAAATATAAAAAAGGATTAAAATAATTAAACATACTTAATTTTTCATGTGAACCCCACTTTCATGCATAAAATAAACATAAAAAAAAATGATTCCTCTTCACCATCTTTACACCGTAATATAAAACTACTCATATTCATCACCTAACATAATCAATGGGTGAGACCCCCATAATCTATCATATTTAGCAATAATTATCTCCCCTAATTGATTCTTAGCCTCTTAATTTATTAGTGCTAGATTCGGTTAACCATAGTCAAGGCCAACGTTAACCCTGAGTTACATTTAATATTATTTATTATTAATCATCAATGATGTCATGAATAAGATACAAAATAAATAAATAAAAAGAATATACAAACAATGCTTATCACTCCTAATGGAGGAAGCATCCATTCCCCTTTAGTCTCAATTGGACTATGTGCATTATTATCATAATAGTACACATTGGCGCACTCAATGTGAAACATTTTTGTCCATGCATTTCATTTTTTTAATGCTTATTTACATTTATACCCACATGTGCTGAGATTAGTTTAATCAAGTCATTTTGAGGATTAATAGATTAATAAACTTTGAGAAATCCCTTGTTGAGAACCTCGTATTTATGGGTGTCAAGTCGGGTTCATGGATCTGGATCAGGTTTGATTTGATTTTGACTTGAACTCAACCTGAATATTAATTAATGGGCCAGAAAGTTTAACTTGAACACAATCGACCTTCAAACTGGCTGACCTGGAACTGACCGACATAACACATTTAACATACATATAATAGTTATTTGGGTCAAATTCAGGTTAATTTTTAGTCAAATTCGTGCCAAGTTCAGATTGGCAGGTCAGACTCCGAGCAATTTCTGGTTGTCATGTCAGTTTCGAGTCAATTTCGAGTTGGCGGGTTAACTTGGGTCTGATAAAAAAACTAAAGGTGTTGGGATTTCGGACCTGAACCTGACAAAAAATTATTAAGGTCGACTCGAACCTTATGTTATTGAGTTTAGTACTAGACAATTGACAAGTTGACTTCAATTCTTCATAGTTTCTACAACTTTTATAGTAATCAACAAAATATCTTTCTTTTTTAATCATTTTTGTAACCTGAATTGATTCATTCCCCTCTAATTAAAAAGAAAATGTTGCATCAGGACCTCACGCATGTATGGTTACGTGCAGAGTCCAATGAAATCACGCCACGTGGCGATGACAGAAAAAAAAAAAAATTTGTCGGGTAACACAAGGGAACATTCCGCCCGTGCTATTCAGGTGTTATTGTGTGTTATTCAGGTGTTGTTGATGTGTTATTATGTTATTATAATACCAGAAATATTCCTAGAACACAATAACACGGAATAACACGAGGGGAATATTCTCCTGTGTTACTGTACCTATTTTTTTTTTCTGTCACCTCCACATGACATGATTTCATCAGACTCCGAACGTAACTCTAGGTGCGGATTACTGATACAATATTTTTTTCCAAATTAAAAAGGTTCCGAGGGGTTTTTTTTGTAAATCAATTCCTAATGAGAAACTATTGATATCTAACTTTAAATTCAAAAACATTCGGCATCAGCATGTACCTTTATATTTGGAATACTTTATTTTCTTATAAGAAATGACATTTTATATTTATTTTAATGGAAATTTACATACATACCGCACAATTCATATGTATTTTCATATCTATCCCCCAAACTTTACTTTTTTACATTTATACCGCTCAAATCTCTCATATCACACAAGAAATATTACTCTTTCAAAATTTTAAAAGTGAAATGCACCATTTCATGTAAAAACAATAATACATATATATACTTAAAAATTGAAATATAAAGTGGTAGATATGCAAATACATAAAAATAGAGTGATATGTATGTAAAAATCTACTGGCAAGCAAAAAAGTGAAAGTAAATATACATAAAATATTGCCATAAATCTTATCACTTTGCACCATTATTTTAATTCATTCTAAGTTGATATGTTTAATAAGCTTTCAAAGAAAAATGAGTGCTCTTTTTATAAAGTAAGATTACTTTATAACTTTATTGTTTTTTTTTTATTTTTTTTATAAAATAAGCCATGCACAAAATATTCTACTTATACTGTGTTTAGAGCCCCTTGAAACTTTATCTGTTTATAGCATGCTTTTATATATATATTATATATATAATTTTTAAATGAATGGGCAAAGAGTATTAAACGAGCTCCGACCATCCATAGATGTGCTAAATATTTGAGTACCACAACCTACTCCCTTGAGGAGACTTACAATATTCAGAGAGGTATATATATATATATATATATAAATGAAAAAAAAAAAAACTTACAAATGAATTAATTACGTAAGGGCCCGTTTGGGGCAGCTTATAAGTGCGGTGGTGTTTTTGAAAACGTCGCGACACTATTTGGAGCGTGTGTTTTGCCCAATTATCCGAAAACACGGTTTCATTTGTACACTAAACACAGGTCGCGGGTCGAACCTCGTGGTTAACCCACAGGCTGCATTTTAGGATAAACTGCTTATTCTTAAAAACTGCGCCAAATGCACCCTTAGATCTTCCTAATAAAAATTATCACATAAGCATTTAACATATAAAAAATTTCCATATTTAAATAGTTAACATCAAATTTATTTAAAATTATATTAAAATACATAAAGAAATATGATGGCTAATATTAGTACTGCCATAAATCCTTATAAGAAAATATAAAGAGTTCTATTATATATATAGATAGACATATATTAGTATTTCATGAAAATCTTCAGTTATGGCGGTGAATATTTATTAAGAAAATATTTATATATTGAAAAAGTTAATTTCGTACAGCAACCAAAAGGTGTAAAAACTGGACGTGGTGAGCGGACATGGAAGAACCACGTAGCTCGAAGTATGCAGGATGCAGCCAGGAAGGTGTGGAAAATTAAGCAGATGTTCCGCCTCCTCCTCCTCAATTTCTTTTGCCATTACACCACTTTTTTGCAGCAGCGGTTCTCAAATTCAAGCGGCTGGATGCGCTTCTCATCTTCCTCCTCTTTTTTCTTTTGGCTGAAAATATGAAAAAAGCTTCATTTTTTTCTGGTTGAAGATAATATAGGTAGGAGAAGCCTGCAGATTTGTGAGGTTAAGGAGCTTCCGTGATACAAGGACGAAGCTGTTCGAATGAGGGGCGCTTAAAAAGTCATCTTGTGGTACGCTTCTCTCTTTTTTTCTCCTTTTATCGCTTCTCTTTGGTTTCTCTTTCTTTCTCTTCGATTATTTGGTTTGGTGTGTTCAGTGTGTTTGCAGTTTTGACTTAAAGATGAGAGCTTTCTGCATTTGGGCTTTGATGGAAAGCTGCTAGCTTTTTACATCCTGTGTGAAAGATCCGATCTTGGTGCTAGAAATCTATGTATCTCTTCATCTTGTTTATCTGGTAGAACCAGCGATCTTTAAAGATTGGTTCTTGTGATGGGAACGGTGGCAAAAGCTCCAGGTAATTACTAACCAGCATTTCTATGGAGGAGGAGGTGGAGGACGAGGAGGATCTCACCCGGCGCTGTGGCACTGATGAAAGAGGTTTTGATCCCAAGTTGAAATCTTCCGGCCATGGCGCTGAACAGAATTCCGGCGAAGTGAGTCTGAGAGAGTGGCTGGACAGGCCCAAGAGACCGGTGGACTTTGTAGAATGTCTTCATATATTCCGGCAGGTCGCTGAGGCGGTGAACCTTGCTCATTCTCAGGGAGTTGTGGTGAACAACATCAGGCCATCATGCTTTGTGTTGTCACCACTCAACCATTTGACATTCATTGAATCAGCCTCTTGCTCAGACACCTCTTGTGGAGAAGAAGAAGGCGGCCGTATCGCCGGAGCCCGTGATTGGTTGAATTCGACGAAAGAGAGAATTACATGTGGGGAGTGAAGCTGATGATCAATGGAGGGACTTTCCTCTCAAGAAGATGTTGAGAATGGAGTTGAATTGGTATTCTAGCCCTGAAGAAGTTGAGGGGAAGCAAAGCACATTTGCTTCTGATGTATATAAATTAGGAGTTCTTCTCTTTGAGGTAAGTGTGAATCAACTGTGTGCTTTACTTTGGCTTAAATTGTACTATTATTTTATTGCTTATTTTGGCTCTTTGTTATCAGTTGTTTTGTATGTTTGAGAGTTTGGAAGATAAGTTTGGCAAGATGTCAAACTTGAGAGATAGAGTTCTTCCACCACAAATGCTTCTAAAGTGGCCAAAGGAAGCTTCCTTCTGCCTGTGGCTTTTGCATCCACAGGCAAGTAGTAGGCCTACAATGAGGTTAGATTTTATAAACTATTATGATTTTTTATTTTTTTTAGTATTGTTGATTTGTGTTTGCTTAAGATTAATTAAGTGGTCTTACATAGTTTGGTGGAAGTTTTATTAGTCCATAATAGTCATTAGGATTAAGGTATTTTTTGATTTTTTTTTTTTTTGCTACTTATGTTGCATTGGAAGAAGTATGTGAGATAAGGTATACTTGTATGAAAAATGGAAATTTAGTTTTTTTAGTAGTATTTTAGTTGGATTCAAGGGCGGAATTAGGTTATGTTCAGAGTGGATAATTTTGCCCACGTTCAAATTTGAGATTTATTTATATAAGTAATAAAATTTAATAATTTTTTCTTATATAATTTAGGTAATTTTGTAATTTTACCCTTTCTCAGTATATTTTGTGCCTAATGCTTGAGAATAAAATATTTGATGATTTTGCCCACCTAAGAAATAAAGCTGGTTTCGCCTCTAGTTGGATTTTGAAAAAAATGCTTTTGTAAAGGTTAACTTTTTCCTTAAAAATTAATTAAATACTTTACTAATTAAGATTTATATGCTATTTTAAAATTTGATATGAAATGATCAATTGAATAGTGTTTAACATCTCAAGCAACATATATTCAACAAGAATGGTGAAAAATGAGGATTCATAAAATAATATTAGTTTGAAATAGTTGGGATTAGGCTAATGATAATGATAATGATGATTAGATGATGATAATGATGGCATATTAAATTTATAATAATATTCATTTAAGTCAACTTATATTAATGTAATTACAATTTTTTGCTAAGCAAGTCTAATTCATAAAGCAATTTAAAGAATTAGCTTAATATCACACAAATAAAACACACCAATGTCAAACGAAGCCTGAATTTCTTCATGTTATTTCAAATTTCCAATTTTATTTGTAAAAATTCTTGTTCAAAATTCAACATTCTTTTATTAAAACACAATTCTAGTGTTTTTTTTTCCATTTCTTTATGCAATCTTATAATAAATGAAAGTGTTATTTGACATTTTCTCCAAGTTATTGATCATAGCTTTTTAATATTATTATTGATGTCACCTTATTTTTAATTATTATTAAAATTCAATCATTGTATTTAATAATTTAAACTTATATTTGTTTAGAACTAATCATTGATTCAATGATATGTAAAATTCAATGAATTGATTAAGGCACTCATGTAGCATGATGCTGAGGGTGAGAAGAACATTTGTTTGGTTACTTGGACTCACTTCAAGGATATGTGATACCAACTAGCCAAACACTAATATGTTGGAGTTTTTTCAAAAACCATGAAAATATTTAAGTTTACATCTCTTTGAAGCAAGTAGTCAATGCTAATATTTTTTTGTCCATTCATCATTTAATAAAAGAAAATGTTTATATTAGAATTTAATGAGAATTGAAGAGTAGTTTGCTGTATATTTGTTTAAACATGTACATAGTATTATAATCTTGGGAGAGCTTATAGTAGACAACTTGCAAAAGCAGAAAATTGATATAAATAAAATTAATTACAATAGTCTAGCGCACAGAATAGTGAGTTTGTGTGCAGTAAGTATCTCACAAATCCATAAGGTGAAATCATCTAGAAAGGAAGAGGGAAGAATTTACATAGTATTATAATCTTGGGAGAGCTTATAGTAGGCAACTTGCAAAAGCAGAAATTTGATATAAATAAGATTAATTACAATTGTCTAGCGCACAGAATAGTGAGTTTGTGTGCGGTAAGTATCTCACAAATCCATAAGGTCAAATCATCGAGAAAGGAAGAGGGAAGAATCTAGGACAAAAGTTAAGAATTGATAAGGTGGTAGCATCAAGCAAGGAAGAGGGTGAAAGTCAAGGAGAAGCTTATGGAACTATTTTCACACTTCCTCTCAAATGAATGAATGGATATTGTTCATTCTAAGTTTTTCTGATAGTTTCAAAAGATCACCCCTAATAGGCTTTTTATGAGTGTGTTTGCAAATTGTTCACTTTTGATTACAAATGTGGCATAGATTAGGCCACTATCAAGTATCTCTTTTATAAATTTTTTATTAACTTTAATATGCTTTGTATGATTATGTTGCACGAGATTTTGTGCAAAATAGTTTGTTAAATGATTATCATAATAGATGCCACATGAGACATTTTCATTAAACCTTTAAATCTTCAACGACAATTTTTATTCGTAATAAGTCACAAATTCTCGAGCGTGTCGTAAATTTAACTTTGATTTTTGTGCTAATTTTTACTATCATATTTATTTATTTATTTATTTTTTTTGTTTCTTTAAGTTGTGAGATTTCATCTTAAGAACGTGCAATATCTTCAGCTTGAACCCTTTTCAATCACAATACCAGTGTAGTTTGCATCTATGTGTATGAGAGTTAGAATCTCCTTAATTTTGAATTGGCTTTCTTGATTTGTCCGAGTTCTCTTCACATTATATTGTCGAATGTTATTCATTATTATAAGATTAAATTTTTTAGGATTGTACATGAAATGACTCACAATTTTTGCAATGTAATAAATGTTAGATTTATTATAAGATAAGTAGATAATTCTTTCCATAGGTCTTATATATGAGATATGTTTTGTTTTATCTTCTGTAAAATCAGTTTATGATTGAATGATGTGGGACTTTTAACATGCGTGCTATCTTTGAACAAATTTGTTATATATTCTTGTTCTAATATAAAGATTCGATGTGTAGAGTGCCTAATCTCAATATTAAGAAAACACTTTAATTTGCCAATTATTTTGGTTTCAAATTCCTTTAATGATATTTAAATTTTTTATTCTTTCCACATTATTACCTATCATTATGAAGTCATCATAATGTATTAGCATTAAGGCATTCCCTACAGCCTAATATCTTACTAATAATATATGGTCTTATTATTAGAGATTGTTTCAAAAGCTGCCAGTGTTGAGGTGCACATTGCCTCTATTAGATTGAGACGTGCAAGTAATGCATATTAGTTTTTTTCCCTATATTACATGGATTAAAGCAACAATGAATGCTCGATCAAACCTCTCAGACAAGATCTCCCCTAGCTCTCTCACAATGACATTCTAGTTAGGCTTCCCAGCGTTGTTGCTTGTTGTTTAAGCTATAAATGTCACCTACTTCCTCTAATGCAGTCGTCGTTACCTACTTCTCTTGTTGCTCTTGTTGTCATTGCTGTTGCATAGTATTTTCCAACTGTTGGCGCTTGCTTCTACTCCACCTGTCCTCTCCCACAGGCATTGATGTAGCTGCCAATACCCCTCATCAAATAGTCTTTAAGTTTTATAAGGATTAAAAATTTCTATATATTTAACCATATCCTTTTATTTTCTTTCAGTATTTATATTATCATATTGTTTGAATTTTGAAATAAAATTTTCATTTTAGTGTTTGGTAAGAAATGATTAGAGGCAAGGAGAAGTATACATTTGGTAATTAAAAATATTCAACATGGACACAATGTGCATATCGACATTAGAGGCAACAATAAAGTATGCATTTATTTGAAATACAATAACTACAAGAACATAGTAAAAGGAGTTATAAGCATAATTGAATGCCTCTTAGGCTCACATAAAAATAGCGCACCATGTGCTAATATGTCAGAAGCAATGAAAGAGGAGATCTCACATATGAAAAAAGTTTACGATATCAAAATATTTTGCACAACAATAGTTTGATGATAGAGTTGATGTGCTAAAGTGTCAGAAGTAATGAAAGAGGATATCGACTCATATAAGAAAAAAGTTGATAATGCCAAAGCTTTTTGCACAATGATAATTTGGTGATAGAGTTGACATCGACTTTTACTATGAGAGTGAGCATAGTGCAAAGGTCTTCTGATCATTTTCACAACAAAGATCTAATAAGCGACCCCCGAGATTACATATGATAAATGTTAAGGACTGCAAATTAAAAGATGCTTCAAGAGCATGCTAGAGATGCATACAAACGTGTTTGCATGGATATGGAGAAAATTATTTATGATGATTCAATTCCATCAATATAGCAATCACCCTTTCTTAGTTTAATATAATCCATTTTATAGCTGCTTAAAGCCGAGGCTTGAACCCCCATTTATGTATGCGTATTTTTATTTATGTATGATTTGGATATATGAGTGTTGAAGGAGGAGTTTATAATATAAAAAATTCATAGAATAGATTAAAAAAATGTTGGACTGAAGTAAAGATCATGTTTGATGATTGGTTTGTCATGATCTGATCTGATATCTTATAATTAACTAAGTCGGTAACTATAATACGAAGATATTAATATTTAATTTATTTTTCATAGATTTTTTAGAAATTTCAATATTAACCATTAATAAACCACAAAATATACTACACATAAATTAAAAAATCTAGAAATAACTATATAGTTTGTAGACAATATCCCAAACTAGTATATAATAATATATCACTATTCAGAAGAAAACAATACAAAAAAACTAAAATCATAGTACCTATCATAAATTTTCTTCCTTTAAACTAAGGGTTTGTTTGGAGCACCTGCAACTGTTTGAAGAAGCACCTGTGAAACTGTTGAAGACAAAACTACTGTTCAAAAAGCTGTGGTGGTTATTACATTTTTTTTTTTCGAAAATGTTTGACCACAACTTTCTAACAGCTTCCACAGGTAACCATGTCCGGTACCAAAATGCAGCTTTCAACTACAATTTTTTGAAAATGCAAACATAACATAATTTTGTCAAACATGCAAAACTACATTGCGACACCGCATCGCCGCCCTAAACAAACTCTAAATCCCTTCTGTCACGCATATTAATATGTAGTATTTTCTGAAAGAAAAAATTTAATTTAAAAATAAGTGTTCATGACTTTATGGGCAATTATAATCTTGTTATCCATTAAATTCATATGTAAATCCTATGCATAGATGACAAAAAAATTATAATTCATTAGTTAATAAAACGATAAGCTTTCATTTTAAACTTAACATTTTACATTTCAATGTAACCATTTACCTTTTTT